GATCATGGACTCGGTCAATTCGCCGCTGCATAGGACCTGCAGGCTATCCAGCAAGGCGACCATGCATTCCACGCTCGCCTGCAAGCTAGCCTCTGTGGCGCTGCCTGCACTGGCGCCATAGGCGCACTCCTCCATGGCATCCACCAGGCTGCGAGTAGAGAAAAGTTTTAATTATTATCAATACGAATCGTTTCGAATCGTCTAATTTGCATACAGTCGAAAGAGCGCCATCTCGTCGCTGCAGCCCTGCGCCGTGTTCTTGTCCACATAGAGTATGACCGCCAGATCGATGAGGCGTTCCGGACTTTTAAAGATCTCGCGCACACAGCGCAACGGCTCGGTGCGATTCAGCGGCGCCGGCAGCAATACCATGCGATGGAACAGAGCCTCCAACATTGGCCGCAGCGAGCCGTGTGCGCCGGCGATGCGCAGCAACTGGATCGCTGTCAAGTAGACGCAACGAGCCTGCGGCCCATCCAAGCCAGGTCCAGTGAAAAAGCCGCGCGCCTCGTTCTCAATCATGTGCAGAGCGTCTCTGTTCAGGCAGAAGATGTAGATATAATTCATATAGCTCCACGTTCATAGCTCCATCACTTACTTGTAGGTAAACTTTTTGTCTAGATTAATGCGACCCGGCGAGCCGAGCGCCGCGGCCAATGTTGGACAGAACTTTTGCCAGAGGAACGAGGTGAAGTGCGGATTGGCATGCACATTGCGTGGCAGCGCCGAGCTGAGTGTCAGGATGCATTCGGTTAGATATAGCGAACTGGGATTCTCACACTTCTTGTTCGGCGATGCATTGTTAACATTCGGCTCCACCAGGCGACTGCAGAGCCACTGCATCACGGGTATGACCTCATTGTAGACGGCCGACGCCTGCGTTTGGGTCATCAGGCCAGCGGGCGCTGTCTTCTTTACCTCCTCGGCCTCCTCGATGAGAAAGGCGCAAAATGTGCGCAAACACTGCGAAGCGGCGGCCAGCGAGGCCGCCTTGATTGCCCGCGAGCCGAGCTCCCAGCATTCGCCGCAACGCGAGAGTATCTCGATGAGCAGTCGCCCGTTCAACGTGCAGGCCGGCGAGCAGGCCATGGCCAGGAACAGGCGCAATACATTCACCACGGTATCCTCGCTGCTTGTCGATGGCAAAATGCCATTCGTGGCACGCAACAGCTGCGAGGGTAGCCACACAGAATCATCCTCCGGCTCCAGGCCAATGTAGAAGCGTTCATCCTTGATGACGCGCTGTGGGATGCATGAATACAAAAACCAGATTAATGAACGACACGATATAATAGCTGTAAGACTCACAAAAGTATGCTACGAAAGATAGCAAACTAATACAAGAGCTATTCCTTGTTTATCTAACTGTTAGCCAAGTTTCCCACTGAAGTTTTTCCATTTCCCACTTAGAACTGAATCTTTCCAAACTGTTTCAATACAGTTCTGTTCCAAGCCTTTCCATTTCACTTCAAGAAATGTCCTTAATTAATTCAAGTGCAGCTCAGAAGCCCCCTTCGTCCATCGAAATGATTTAAAAAGTCTTGAGAATTTCGTTGCTGTATTTTAGCCCCACCTCGCTGCAAGCGACATTTCTTAATTATTTTAAGTGTAGCTCTTGGAGCAATGGCAATCGCAATCATAAATAGTAAAGCAATATTTCTTAGGAGTTTGTCCTTTGTTCATTATTTTAAGTGCAATTCTCAATACTTTTCAAGCTTGCTTTAAAATTGATTGAGAATTGCGTGAGATGCAGTTGTTAGCCTTGGCCTCAAAATTATACAATTTCCATTGATGGAATTATGCGATAGGAAGGCAGGACTGGCACTAGGTCCGTCCATCCGGTCGTCCGTCCTTCCGTCCGTCCGTCTGGTTGTCGGCAATTAGCTAAACTCATTTCACAATTTTCGCAATTTCGTGTCTGTCGTCAGTCTGAACGTATCCGGTACGGAAAGGAAAACGGGCGGACAATTGCCTAGAAACCCGTTCGATAATTGACTCGTCCGCCTCTGTGTTGCTCTTTGTTCATAGAGAATTTCTTGCTTTTGTGTGTGTACTTTTTCTTTTTCCTTTTCTTCTTCTTTTTCTTTGTTTTGTACTTACATGCAGGCCATTAAGGCCCATTGTGATGAACTTTGGCCGCTTCGTGTCCAAGGCCATTTGCAATGCCGTGAAGCAGACGGAGCGCAGCTCGTGCGACGGATCCCTGTGTATGCCATGCTGTCGATAAAGTTTATCTGCGAAATACATAAATGGTCAAACGAAATCGAAACGTTCCAAGTCGCTTATCAGCATAAAACGCTGTGCGTTATGACCAGGCTAACAATTACGCGTGCCAATGGAACCAACCAGAGGCAACTAGCCACATATTGCTGCCGCCGCGGTCAAATACAAAAACATTAAACAGCAACAAACAAAAACAAACAATGGGATAAATAGTGTTCTCCAATGTGCACGACTTGGCAATACTCTGTATGCGTTATGACTAGGCTAGCAATTTGGTCAAAATGGCGGAATGAATGCAAGCAGGGGAAACTAGCCACAAATTGTTGCCTACTTTCCTGCCGCTGCGGTGAAAGATAAGGTCTGTGAACAGCAAAAATAACAATAAGTCGATTGTGAGCGACTAATTTATACCCTGGAGCTAGCTTGGTGTTGCTCCAACATATAGCTGCTTAATAAGCGGTAGCTTATGGAATGGAACCTTAGCTTGGTTCCAATTCTTGAATTTAATTTAATAACAACTTTAGGTAACTTGACTTTTTATTTTGTTCTATTTCAAATATCTACACAGCCGTAAATATTTCCGTTTTTCATACCGCTTTCATTTGCTGCAGGATATAAAAACAAAGGAAATGCCAGCGGATGTGCAAAAGGGCGGACACGCCAACAACAACAACAATAATAATGAGTAGCAAACGAAGAGGAAGCACAGCAAAAGCAACAACTCCAAAAGAGGAAATTACGTTCTTGCATGTTTTCAAAGCGCCTTTACCGTTGCCGTTGCCGTTGCCATTGTCGTTGACTTTTATTGTTGTGGTTGTTGTTGTTATCGCAAAACTTTCACACGCACACAAACACAGACACACACGCGCGTAAAAATGAAGAACATATGTATATGCAAGCATTTACCGTAAGCAATTTGCGCCGTTTGTCGCAGCGCGTTGTGCTTGGTACCCGTTGACTCCTTGATAATTAGCAGAAAAAGGTCTTCCATATTGCACACACACACATGCAACTCTTCGCTTTGTGTACTCTGCCTATCTCTTTCTCTCTCTGCCTCACTCGCTTTTTGTCACTGGTTTCGTCTGTCACTTGGCGCTGTTGCTCGCGTCTTTAGCTGTTAATGTTTGTGTCGTTGTTGTTATTATTGTTGTTGCCTCTGTACGCCTTCTTCGCCTTTGGTTCTTCTGCTGCTGTTGTTGCTCAGTTGTAAAAGCGAATGGCAGGCGCGAACGATTCCCCTATGCATGTCATCAACATCAACTCAATTAGCGCCAGCGCCTGTTCAAAAATTTAAAATGACAGAAAACAAAGAATGGTAATAAGATTGGAATAAAATCAATAAAAATGTAACTAAAACGAAGTGCATTACAACGGCATATTGCGACCATATTGTTTATACTGCCGACAAACCTCCATATGTCAATGGGCACGATTTTTTGCGTGTTCTGCTGTTGCTCCTGGCGACCACTTGCAATTCTCAACATGACTCACACGCCCACTTGAGCGATAACAAAACAAAAACAAAAAGACAAAAAGAATGAAAGAGTGGAAACTTTGCTCTTGCATTTTGCACCTTCAAAAAAGTTCAAAGAGTGTGTATCCGTTTTCCTTGAAAAACTGTTCATACATTAAATGGCGTATACACCGACATACATATACACACACATAAACACACACGCACACACCACATGTACGTGCACTGCTGCAACGTACAGGATTTAAATTTGAATGTCCCTTTTTTATTCCATATGTCATACACACACCAACACAATCACTTTCAAATGCTTTCTAAGTTTTAGCTTTTGTGGTTCTTCCTTTTACCAGTTCGGTTATTGTTCAACTCTTCTCTACCACTTGTGGTTTTTCAACACTTTTCCTATCCCTTTTTTTCGTTTTTGCTTATCTTTTTTTGTGTTTCTTACAAAAAGCGTTGCAATTGTCGTTGACTGTTTGCTGTGCGACAAATGCTGACAGCAACTGAAACTGAAAACAATTTCTTTTTACGCTGCTGCTACTTCTGCTGACGTACAATACATGCACACACTGAAGCATACGTATGACACACGTATTTTCAGAAAGACCGTTACTTGCGCATGCGGCATAAGAATTATACGGGCGCTCTCACATGGCTCAAAATGTAAGGTTATATATGCTCCCTGCGAATTATTTAAAGATGTAAGCGTCATATTATTTTATGGTTTCTTATGTAGCTAGTTGTTTGTATGATTTGTTATGAATACATTTATTTCGCATGCTTTTTTCAGAGGTATCAACATATGTATATCTTATAAACCTCTTCGTAGCATATCGGTCGTCGTTCTGACGTCACATTGATGAGCATAAACAGCAGCGCACAATGTGCACCGTTATATTGCCAACAGCTGATTTGTCGACATGTCAATCTCATTGAAAAATCAATATCATTAAACTTATACAAAGAAACCTAGACCAATACAACCAAATTTTACCAAAACTACCAAAAACTTAAGGAAAGATTCTAACTTGACATCTCGTTAAGTTTCTGCAATAGCCACCCCCACATGGCAACCCTGACCAGCAACACCAGGGCCACCGCCACAGGTGGTTGCACCAACTGCTGAGCGCGCAGGTAAATGCGCACGCCTTTTGGCATCTGATTGCAATTATTGAATTGTATATATTTCGAATTGATTTAAAATAGTTTAACTGGCATTTAAAATTACAAAAATATTAAATACAATCGAATTTGCAAATGCTAAATAAATATGCAAAAAAAAAAAAAAAAAAAAAGAATAAAAAGGACCATTCTTTTGCTCTCGAAGACTATGTAGTAGGACGCGAGTGCATGGCGAGCGCTGCTGCAGCAGCTCCATTAACTAGCCATGCTAGCCGGCTATGCAATCTACTTCACGGGTTTCGATTTCCAGAGGCCATCATTAAGGAAATGATACGTCTCAATGCCGATGCCTTTGTTTACTTTCAATCTACAAAATACAAAGAATTAAAAACAAAATAAATCGTTAGAGACGTCGTTACGCACATATCTTCTGTGGAAAGCGTCAGTAGTCCAATTGCCAGCGCATGCTCTTTGCCTTCGGCCATAATTGCAACAACTGTGCCCTTTTCCGCCTGCGTCATGCAGGCGCCGGGCGACGTTAATCCAGGACACATGACATTGGCGCCACTCAAAACAAATCGAATGGCTCCCTTGTCCACCTGCTGCATGGTAACAAAGTATGGGAATTTGTGCAGCAGACGCAACGTGGGCATCCATGGTCCGTCCCGATGTCTAAAGAATACCTGCTCACCGGCACCATTTAGCAGTAGTTCGATGTGATCGTGGCTATGTGCAAGTTTACAAAATTTCATTAGAATAAGGTTAGTGCCCAAATTAGATGTTGCAAAGCTTACCATTTGGCAATGCGGTACGAGTCTTTCTTGGGTAATATTAAATCAATGTGCGTTTCTAGTTTTGGATATGCCTTCAATAGTGTTGTACGTATGCCTTTCTGTACGGACGATTTTAGCTGCTGTATCGATGAGATGCTGTCCTTTTCCTCGAATCTATATATCCACAAACGTTAGTTGCCAAATAAGCGTCGGCTTATGTTTAATACATACTTTTTGAACATTTTGCGAAACTTGCTTTAATGGCTGCAGTTGGTTAGATGTGACCGTATATTGGCAATCACAATAAGCAAATTTGACAAAACACCGGCGTTGCCACACACTTATCAATCGATAAGAAACTCGTTCTGATAAACCAAAAGAAGAATGTTAGTCGATGCCTTATTTGGATTTTGTGAGCGACTATCCTGCGCTCATTCGGCATACAAATTTCGTACTTGAATCATTTATATTGCGTGCTGATTTGAACTACATGCTACATCTACATGCATGGAAAAAATGTTTAGCATATTTAATATTTTTGTATTTAATATTGATTTAAAAACAGTGTATTATTCTCGATTTTCTGACAGTTATGATTGAATACCTGAATACGTATCGATATTTGTATGTTCGATATATATGTTTAATATTGTGCAGGTCACGCTCATCGATATTTAGTACCACACACGATTTCTGTTAAAGTGTGAGTGTGTACACATGACTTACATACAAATGTGCGATGTGCGATGTGCGATGTGCACCACGAACACGGCCAACGCAAAAAAAGAAGAGAAAAAAACAACAGTAGACAACACTTGCAAATCGAAACGCTAGTTGGAAGAAAGAAGGCGAGGGCAACTTACTCAAATCATATACAATATTCGAATACAGATTTGATTGAACAGTTTGCACAGCTAGCGATTATTATTATTTAAATAGCCGAAATCAACCAATTTAATGCTATGAGCGCCAACAAAACAAGTGAGGCGCTCACAGTGCCAGCAACACCAGCATCAGCATCAGCATCAGCATTACCAGCGGCAGCAACAACAACAACACCAACAACAACAAGTGCAGCTGTAAGCGAGGCAGATACCGAAACGTCAGATGCCATAGCAACTGGAGGAATCGTTGGAGTCGCAGCTGATGAGATTCAGGGACTGGCTGAACTGAAGCATTTCATCAGCGAGCTGCAGGAGAAAATTGACGCCAAGCGCCAGCTGCGGCAGCAAAACGCAAACTTTGAGCTGCCTGGCGATGAGTATTTTGCGCGCCTGGACTCCAGCCTGAAGAAGAATACGGCATTTGTTAAGAAATTGAAGCTCTTCACAAGTACACAGCTGGAGGCGCTATTGCGTGAACTCTCGGCACTCAATCTCAGCAAATATATATCGGAAATATGCGCTGCTCTAGCGGAGGCCAAACTTAAGATGACGGATGTGCCAGCCGTTGTTACATTGGCTTCCAAGCTCCATTGCACCTATGCGGACTTCAATACACAGTTCCTCGAAGCTTGGCAGAAAGCGCTCAAGGCAACCGAAAAGATTAGCAATCCGAGCAAATTGCGTGTGGATCTTCGTCTGTTTGCAGAGCTCGTCAGCTCGGGTGTTATTCAGATGAAGCCGGGTCTGGCGCTGCTTGGAATGGTGCTGGTGCAGCTGATAGCACTGGACAAGGATGATCATAGCAACTTTTCAATAATATTGTCGTTTTGTCGCCATTGCGGCGAGGAGTATGCCGGCCTGGTGCCGCAAAAGATGCAACAGCTGGCCCTCAAATACGATCTCGAAGTGCCCAAATCGGATTTCTTAAGCGCCGACAAGCAGCTCAATTTGCGCACCATGCTCAAAGGATACTTTAAGGCCCTCTGCAAGCATGTGCTGGCTGAGCAGGCTGCCCTCATGAACATGACCAAGAACATTAGACGAACCATGGAGTGCAAGGGTGAAATAAGCCAGGAGAAGCGCGAGAAGTGTGAACTGATGCAGGCGAGCTTTGACAAACTTCTCGCATCGGCTCAGTCGCTCTCTGAGCTGTTGGGCGAGCCGTTGCCGGAGCTGACCAAAGAGTCGGAGTGCTGTAATCCGGGCACCGTCATTGACAATATGTTGGACAGCGCCGCCTTTGGTACACTAGATCCCTGGGGCGATGATGAGACGCGCGCCTTTTACACCGATTTGCCAGACTTGCGACAATTTTTGCCCAACTTTTCGGCACCCAAGGTCGATCTGGAAACATTCGAAGAGCCCAGCGAGCTGACCGAGGAGGCCATCGATGCCAACATCGATGCTGAGCTAGACATGGACGATCCGCCGTCAACAACCAGTGATACGGCGCTCGATAAGGATCAAGATGAACAACAGCCAACAATTGCGCCCGCTGAATCGGGTGCAGCAGCAGCTGCAACAACAACTGGAGCCGCGGGAGCTACTTTAGCTGCAACTCCGGCTACTGCTCCGCTGCCTATTGATAAGAAAATGGGCAGTGCGCTAATGGAACTGGGTCGTCAGCAACAGCAACAACAACAACAACAAACGGTAAGTGAATCTTAGCTGTCAGATATAGTAACTATATAGTTGCATTAAGTCGGCAAGCATACTAAATTCTCTCTCACGCTCGCCCTCTGCTCTTCATGCCATGCAGCAGCAGCAGCAGCAACAACAAACGGTGAGTGCCTTAGCAGCTGTGCAGACTGAACTTGATTGGATTGCGAATAGGCAATACTAATATCTCTCTCTCTCTCTCTCACACTCTCACTCTCCCTTGTCACAGCAGTCACAATCGCAGAGCCAACATCTACGACAGCAATTCGATGTATTTCTACTTAATCTGTTCAATTGCGTTAATAAGGAGTTGATCGATTCGGCAGCCATTGAATTTCTGCTCAATTATAATACAAAACATCAGCGCAAGAAGCTAACGAGAACGATATTTAGTGTGCAGCGAACACGGCTCGATATCTTGCCATATCTGTCACGATTCGTGGCCATTGTTCATATGTGCAACACGGATGTGGCTGCCGATCTGTCCGATTTGCTGCGCAAGGAATTCAAATGGCATATTCGCAAGAAGAATCAGCTGAACATTGAGTCGAAGCTGAAGATCGTACGCTTCATTGGTGAACTGGTGAAGTTTGGCCTGTTCAAGAAGTTCGATGCCTTGGGCTGTTTAAAGATGCTATTGCGTGACTTCATACACCATCATATCGAGATGGCGTGCGCCTTTGTCGAGGTCAGCGGCGTCTATCTGTACAATTGTCGCGATTCGCGGCTGCTGATGAACGTCTTTCTCGATCAGATGCTGCGCATGAAGACGGCGACTGCAATGGATTCGCGTCATGCGGCGCAAATTGAGAGCGTTTACTATCTGGTCAAGCCACCGGAATCGGCTAAGCGTGAGCTGACGCCCCGACCGCCCATGCACGAGTATATACGTCATTTGATATTTGAGGAGCTGTGCAAACAGAATGTGGAGCGCTGCATTAAGATGCTGCGACGCATCAATTGGAACGATCCGGACGTCTATAGCTATGCGATCAAGTGCTTAAGCAAAGCGTATCTACTGCGCTTCCCCCTCATACGTTGCCTGGCCGATCTCGTCTCCGGATTGAGTTCTTACCAGCCGCGTGCTGTCACCATTGTCATAGACAATGTATTCGAGGATATACGCGCCGGCTTAGAGATACATTCGCCCAAGATGTCACAGCGTCGCATCGCAATGGCCAAATATTTGGGCGAGATGTACAATTATAAGCTGGTCGAGTCCTCACATATACTTAATACACTCTATTCGATAATATCGCTTGGTGTGACATTGGATCAGTCCGTGAACTCGCCGCTCGATCCGCCCGAGAGTCTGTTTCGATTGAAGCTCGCCTGCATGCTGATCGACACCTGCGCCCCCTACTTCACCAGCCAGGCCACGCGCAAGAAGTAAGCAAATAACAACTAAATTCATAAGCTGAAATTAGTAGCTAATCGCGGATTTCTTTTATTCCACAGATTGGATTACTTTCTGGTGTTCTTTCAGCGTTATTATTGGCACAAGAAGTCGCATCCGGTGTTTAGCAAATCGGAGAATACTTCCGATCTCTTTCCCATACTTGTCGATCACACCTATCGTGACTGCTTGGCTGGTGTTCGACCGAAGCTGAAGTTGTATAAGAATCTGGAGCAGGCCAAGGAGGCCATTGATCAGCTGCAGGAGCAACTGTATCCACAGCTAAAAGCCAGCAGCAGCAATAACAATGCCCAAGACGCTAGCTTGTCTACGATCAATGAAATTACCGAACTTGACGACGGCGTAAGTCGTATATATATATAGATAGATTTGTTCCGATTCATAGCATTGCAATTTGGTTTTAAGGTTACGGATGACTCCGGCTCATCGAATGATCAGCGCGAGCGGCAAGCTGCCGGCGGCTCGGAGGCGGATCAAGGCAACTGGACTGAATATGAGGCAGAGCCAGTTGCGCCACCGCCACCGCCAGAGAAGTCCAAAGAGGATTTGGAATTTGAGCAAATGTATGAGAAGATGACCAGCGATTCCTACCAGGAGCGATTGAAGGAGCCGCCACTCAAAGCCACCAATAAGGACATACCTGTACCCATGATGGCTCGCCTTCAAAAGAAGTCCTACGACCAATTAAACTGCAACAGTGCAGCGCAGATCTCAAAGGCCAACGCTGCTGCGCCCGCAACTCCCGCAAACAACGCCAATACTTTAGATGGCGGTAGCAATGTAACGGCAGCAGCTGCTGCTACCTCCTCGAGCGATGCAACCGCCAATGAGGGGGGCGGTGGCGGCGGTAGCAAGAGCAGCGGCGCTGTGCCGTTTGTGTTGATGGTGCGTGGCAACAAAGGAGGCAAGCAGCAGTTTAAATCCTTTGTAGCCCCATCGGACTCGCAGCTGGCCATCAATCTAAAGCTACAGGAACAGAAGACACGCGAGGAGAAGGAGCGTGTAAAGCGACTGACATTGAATATTACAGAACGCATCGAGGAGGAGGATTATCAGGAGTCGCTGCTGCCGCTACAGCAGCGCAACTTTACGCAGAGCTATTACCAGAAGCCCAACAAGCACAAGTTCAAGCATCAGAAGGGTGCACCCGATGCTGATTTGATCTTCCACTAAGCGTCAACTGTCCAGCATGTCAACAGACTGCCTGCCAGCCTGCCTGCCTGTCTATCTGCCTGCCTGTCTGTTTAGACGCTCCAAGAGCGCAATCAATGCAAAGATATCTCGCTTGTAGACTGGCGTCCAACAAGATGTCCTCAATGACATATATATAGGGGCAGACGGCCGAGCCAACTTTGTGTCTTTGTATCATTGTTAGCTGCTTAATATTGTTGTGGAACGTACTTAAGTTGGGAGTGTCCTTCTTACCAAGCCAACAAGTCCTCGGCAAACACACATACACACAGAAACATCTTATATATATATAGATATATATAAATATATGTATATATAAATATATGTGTATATAAATATATATATATCATATCTATATATATTTATATAAACATTTATATTTAGAGCCATAAAGATTTTTTAATTGTGTAGATTATAGCGGCGTCCCAAACTTGTTTAGAAAACATAACGTTTTGTTTTTTATTCAATAAACAACACAAAAATCATCGACTTCCAGAAATTGTTCAACGAATTTCATAAACTAACAACAAAATAATGTAATGAAACCAACTCGTTTTTTTATATAAACTTACGAACAGACAGCTCCAAAACAAATTGACGTATTTAATGAGATCTATAAATATTTGAAAATCAAAATCCATAAAGAAATTCGAAGCGAACTTTCTTGAATAGTTCTGAAATATGCCTTACATTATTCTAAAGATGAAAAATTTCTAGATTGTTTTTGTAATATACAATTATAACAACATTGAAACATCATTTAGTGAAGAAACTTAATTACATACTAGCTCAGATTCTTGAAAATTGCTATAAAATATATATATAAATTATATATGAATATTGTTCTTACATAAAGTTACATAAAGATTGAAACTATAATTTTAATTTACTCTTCATAATTCATTGTTCAGCTCCATCGGTTTATTGAGTCATCTGCTTAGATCGCCTCTCCGAAGTGGAGGCGACCGATTAGAGCTCGTTCTATTAACGGTTGAGTGGGCAGCTGTTATACTATTTCAACTAAAAACTGCTCTTGTAATTGCGTTTGGCTGTTTCCTAAATAATGTAACGTAGTGCAATGCCACGACTTCGACTTCTTCAACATGTCATTAGCGCAACGTTTGACGCGATTTGATCATTCGGCCGCCACGCACGATTGATTAGCTAGTTGCGTTCTGCGGCACTGCTGTAGAGCGCCATATTGCTGCCCACTTCGTCCTACGGCATAACATTTTCACCTCAACGTTAACTTACCACTGGATCATGTCAATTCTCGCTATTTATGTTTAAAATTTGATCATTAAAAATTTTTCAAATATAAGTTGAGCGCTTATTTTTGCATCTATCAACAAATTTTGCTTCTGCCCATTCGGGACTGTATGTTATGTTTAATTTGAAAATGCATAGAAAAATAAATATAGAAATCAAAACAGGCAACGTTACCGCTTACTAAACACTTTAAAAGTATTTTTGTTGCTACCGATCATGGTCACACTGCACAGCAGATTGACTTGTTTTTTTTATTGAAATAAATTTTGTCGCTTTGTCGCACTTTTATACATATATGTATGAATATATGTATATATATATATATATATATATAGATTTAAAAAGCTAGCCGTCATGTTCTATTTTAATATATAAATTCGTAATTATATAAATGTATTTAACGGGAATTAAGTTGAATTAAGACTCAATATAAGTTTGTATTTTATTTATTTATTTCACTAAAATTAGCATCAAACAGTTTTTATTATATGTATGTTTATATATTTCATTAAAATTGAAAGTGTTTCCACATTTTATTTATAAACAATTATTTACGCTTCTTTTGTTTTTATTACACTCAAATACATTTCATTTTGTTGTTAATCAGTAATCAGTACAAATCGCAAAAATGTTTTTTTTTTTGTTTGTTTTAATTAGGGTAGTATTAATATACTATTATTGATCAAAAATTGTAAAAGCCACGATTTCTATCAAAGGAAAATCATAAATAAAAATTGGGGCACAATTTTCGTTTGTTTTTTATGTTTTCTTTTGTCACTTACAAGCTTAAATGTTAATACGCTTAAATATTAATTGTAAAGTTAGATTTAAAATAAAAATAATATTTATATAAAAAAATATATAATATAATAATAAACATACACATTAAAAGAAAACACGAAATAATTGACGGCAAACAAAAAATGGGCGCAAGTCCATAAAGTTAACAAAATCAGTTTTCTGCTTAGTTTTTCTTCTTCTCTCGTCTCAATTGGCATAAATTCAGTTATTGTTGCTTTTTGGATCGTTTAGCTAATAAATAAATTGCTTTGCTCGCATGGACATTTTTTTCGATCCAAAAGTCAGAGGCCAAATACTTAAGTTACGAATTTAAAAGAAATAATATTTAGAATTATAATATCGTATGTGCTACTCGCAGTCGATGCTGCTGCCAAACGAACATAACGAACTGACTCTTTGCGCTGTAGTTTCTTCTCTTGCGGGGTAGCACATAGTTGATAGATATATATATATAAATGTATATATATCATGTGTATATATATATTACAAATGATCGTTTCGTTGGTTAGTTGAAAGTTAGAGAGGCACACTTTGGTGTTCTTAAGTTATTTTTGTGTTTTAGATCGTTTGCTGCGTTGTTTGTTTAAATGTTGTTGCATTGATTTTGGTTGTTTGTGCGTTCACATTGTTGTTGTTGTTTTTGTTATTCTGCTTGTTAGTTTTGGCTGTTTAAAAATGGAAGCTTTTGTTATTCTCTTTTTGTTTTTTTTTTTGTGTACAAACAAGTACATGTATATAAAAAATCTAAAATATATATCGTATATATTGCAAGGCACAATTCGTTTGCTTTTCAAATGGAAGCAATACATATGTGTGTGTGTTTATATATAGTATATATCTTTATATATAAATATATAAATTTGACTTAGTTAAGAACGCGTTTCAATGGCAGTTTGACTTTTGTTCAAGCATTTTGTTTTCTTGTTGTTCCTTGTTGCATGTGGCACGCGCACCATTTGAAGAATAAGAAGAGAGAGAGAGAAGCTGCTTCAGTTGATGGGAGCGGTTGGCTGGCTGATTGATTGATTGATTCAGTTGATTAGCAAACAGTAAATTAGATTGGACAGTCAGTTTTGAAAATGGCAAATTTCACTAAAGAAAACAATAGGCAAAAATCCATGGGAAATTATTTGCCCGCGTAGGTGGGGTTCTTAAAGGTGGATGTGGCCTGTTTGTAGATAGGATTCTCGCCCTGGGTAGTAAATAGTAATTATTGTAGTAATGTTTTTGATATTGGTAATAAATATGTGTCTTACCGTATCCCATTTGGCGTTCATGCGTTCCTTTTCGAAGCGTGCGAATTCGCGACGATCATGTATGGTGGTCAGCAGCTTCCAGAGCAGCAATATGGCCAAGCCAACAAGGACAATGGCACAGATGACGCCCAGGACAATGCCTAGCATAAAGACCTTGGGCGGGCATTCCTTCTCCTGCTGAGCATAGACAACCAATTCACCCACCTCACTATATTTAAACGTAAATTTGCAATCATCCTCATCGAAGAACACGCACAGCTGCTCATCCTTGTGCTCATCGATCTTAACCGTATCAACGCTAATGGCCGTGAATGTGGTGCAGTTCTTAGCACAGTCATCGCCGTTCTTTAGCTGACCCGTCTGGTACATTTGACACTGGACGCAGTCCTTCAGGTCATGACAACGGCCCGAGCATGTGGGGCATTTGTCGCAGTATTTGCCCGAATAGCGGCCTTCGTCCATGGATTTGCATTTGCAAACGCCGCACTCGCAGGTGCCATGGCCAGAGCAAATCTCGCCGCCACCCGGTGGCATGCAGGTATCCTTCGATGTTTGACAGTCGCAGCTGTTGCCCGTCCAGCCCGGTTTGCACACACAGCGATTGCACTCACAGGTGCCATGATCCGGTCCAGAGCATAGCAAATTCTTGCGCCGCTCACAGCTGAAGTTCTCGCATTCGCAATACTTGCCAGAGATGATCTCGTCGGGATTGGTGCGTTTATGGCACTCACAGGCGCCACACACACAGCTGCCACGTCCATTGCATTCGGCAACACTCGTATCGTTGCTCGGCCGGCACATATTATCATTGACATTATTCAAATGCACATCGGACATGGAGCACTCGCAGGTGTTGCCAAAATGCTGCTCATCGCATTCACAGATGCCGCACATATAAGTGCCATGATTGTGGCACTTCTGCGAATGGAGCTCGTAGCCAGTGGAGCCGACATGCTCGCAGGGACAGGAACACAGCATCTCCAGATCAATGATCATGCTTTCGTTAATGCCCACAGGATAGATTTGAATGGCCTGCCAAAAGGAAACGTTAGAGTTAAAGGTGAACTGTCTATCGACCTATACATTATCCAGAGAGTAGGGTCTATCTCTATCTCTTTCTTTAGCTATCTTTAGCTATTTGATAGACAGCTTTACGCTTGGTTATACAGACCTGATTCCAATGACGAGGATCGGTTGGGCATTTGGTCACCGTTATTTGAGCCGTGAAGGTGACTTTGTCGCCGACCTTGAGACCGCCGCACTTGTTCGTCTTGATTTGTGGTCCATTGGTCAGGCAGCTGGATAAATACGTGACCTTAACATCGCCAGTAGCATTGTCCTTCATCTCCACCGTCGACGAGATTTTCTGTTAAGGAAACGGCAATGAGTAATGCATATAGACTCGATATTTGAATGAAATCACTTACGCCGTACTCCTCACGCACCAGATCCACCACATTGGACGAATCATTGGATAAAATGGCACTGGACGAGCCCTCAATGTGGGCGGATAACTTTTGATAGACGGAGTACTGATTCTGTGTGACAGCAAAGATAATGTTGATCGCATTCTGTTTGACCTTCTGATTGATTTGCGATATGCTCGGATAGTCCTGTATGATCGAATGCGTATACATGCCCTGTCCATTCAAATGGCATTCGCCATCGTTCGGCGTTATCACGCCACCCAATTTACCATCGCCGGCATAGTGGAAGCCCGCATCCGTTGAGAACACAAGCAACCGACGCGCCTTCTCGCGCCAGCCGACCTGCTGCCTGCAGGCAATCGCCTGCATGATGGCATCGAAGCCACCTTCAGGTGCGTCCAAATTTCCGGAGACAGCTGCTTCTTTCACCTCGTTCTATATGCATGTTCATACAAGTGCACAGTGATACATAGAGAAAAGTTATAAATTAGTAAAACATAATACAATTGATATTTAAATGCAGTTGCTGTGGTGCAGTTGTTAAGCTGGCGTTAGGTGTTGGCACACTCCGAAGATTAGATTAGTCGATAGCAAAGCGTTTTCCCAAATTCCAAATTCGATTTCGAGTATAAAGAATAAAGATCGATCGATCGATCGATCAAGTTGATATGTTTATGGTCCGATAAGTTATCGATTTTGTTAAGCATAAAGGTATTTTAGGCCTATTAGTTGCATAATTAAAATAATGTTTAAGCCCAAGCGAATTAATTATTGTTTCTTACGGTTATCGATCAATTTGATCTTGATAACTGAAACTTGGGAAGTTATAGAAAGCGTTGCAGTGCCCAGTTATCGATATTTACTGGCTTATCAAGCAGGAAAGCTAACGATAATTGAGCGTTGAATAAGTGTTGAAATATATTTAAGTTGTTAAGTTTTCGATTTTGAATCGAGTGTGATATCGATAACCTGTATATTTATAATTGATCAAATTATCGATAAGCTGTTGAAAAATGTTTATATGGACGTTCTTTATGCAACTTATTATGTTATCGATAACTAAGATATTTGTTATTGATTATCGATATCAAATATGTCAAACTATCAAAATATAAATATAGTTTCTTTAAAAAACTTGGTAAGTTATCGATAACATATAAGACAAAACATAAAAAACATAGTTCTTCAATCAGAATTATTAAATTTTTCTTAAGTTATCGAAATTGCAATTTAGTTCTTGCTTTTTTGGATTGGAACCAACGCTTCACTAGGCACAATAAATATAATTTTAGTTCTCAAACTGGAAAAAAGTTAATAAAATGCCAACGGTTTGCGATAAGATTAGCAGCCACATAGGTACATATATACCTCGCATATATGTAGACATAATCATATCGACCAGAGTGTGCCAGGGACAGAGGCAGCGATAGAGGCTTAACAGAAAAGTGTTCTCATGCAGCAGGCAAAAGAATTGAGTTAGGGATGTGAACTATGAACTACGAACGAACGTGCAGCGGCAATCAAAAGGATTAGGATAACCATAAACCAAAACAAGGCACAAAATACCAAATAATATTAGCATAAATAAGCAAAAATCATAAATTAATAATAATAATAATAATAACAAACAAATTCGTTGGGGTTAGCAGCTAGACGAGTTTGGACAGGTCTCTAATTGGATTAGATGGAAAATTTCTGCTTCTAATTTTTAAAATTTTTTTTTTGTTTTTGGGCAGTTGACAACTTACAGAAAATCTATATGTGTCCATGCTCAAGCCCATGATGTTACGATAGCCATAGGGAGCATCGCACTTGGGGCATGGCTCCTCCAGGCTAAATTTTGTGAACGAATTTTTTTGTTTTTTTTTGTTTGTTTTTTTTTTTTAGTGTGAAGCAACAAGCAACCGATTTTTTTTTCACAATTTTTCAAACACATATATAGACATAAAAAATAAATATATATATATCAAGAGAGCGCAAGAAAAAGAGAGAGAGAGAAGAGAGTGAGATGAGCAAATTTGTTTATGAGAATAAAAAAAAAGACAGAAACAAAAAAAAACTAAAATAAAATAAACTAAAAAATAAATTAAAATATATATATAATATATTGAAACAAATTTTCGATTCATATAGAAGAGTGCAAAAGATTTAGATCACATTCACTTGTGACTGCAACCCCGAAGCAGCCAAAAGCAGCAAAAGGCAAAATTCAACTATGTGGCAACACTGTCCGTGGCTTGGCTGCGCCTCAATACAATTTTGCCTTTTGTTGCATTTTGGTCGTAAACTTACACAGAAACATAGAACATAGAACATAGAATTATACAGATATGTAGTACCCAGTAAGGCTTAGGTAGATATATATGAATAAATATGTATGTACTAAAGCTAAACATGTAATATGTAAATACGAGGCAATACCATACAATACGATACGATACGATACGATAAAATACGATACGGTACGATACGATCTCTATATATAAAGTTAGGCAGAAAAGGGCAATGGATAGCACGTATTATGTTATATGGTGTATGGCATATGGTATATTGTTCTGGTTACTGACACATAAATGTATGCATGTTTGTGCGTGTGTGTGTGTGTTTGTGTGTATAGAGTGCATAGAGAAAGTATGTAAAAGTATTAATCATATATTTTCTTGGCTCTTACAGAGAAGCTTTCGGTGTTATTGCTCAGTGGCATGTGATTGCGGTAACCATACGGCGCCTTGCAGTTATCGCATGGATGCTCGAGTCTATATAGGATATATATAAATATTAAAATATACATATATATATATATATATGTTATCGAGCAGTTGTCGTTGATTGATGGTGTTGTAGTTGTAGTTGTTGTTGTTTAATCATTGATTATTTTGTTTTGTTTTTGTCGTTAGTTTTGATATTTTTGGTTTCGTTTGGCATAAAAATAAAAATTAGGTAAAAATTTGATTTGTTTTGAATTAGTCATTAAAAAGTACATAAAAATAGAGCAATATAATAATACTAATAATGAGCGCTCTTATTTTCGGAAGTACCGAAATGCTTCTGAATACCCAAGCAGAGCCAACGGACGTTCAATCTATTGAGATATTTGAAGAGTTAATAGAGTTACTATCTTATCTTATCTATGGTTTGGTTGAGCACAAGGATAGTAGATATTTGTATCACAACTAAAAAATAGTAAGCTATTTCCATGTTCCTTAAGTAAAGCTAAGTTTGGGTAAGCCCAGCTAAAAGTGAGTAGATAAAGAGAGAGAGAGAGGGCGAGAGCGAGAGCGAGAGAGAGTGTTGTAGGTATCGGACTTAGGTATACAAATGCTCTTTGGTCAAATAGTCTCCAGAGCTATTCTGCTAGGGCATACAAAATACAATTAATATTATTTGAATTTCAACTAAATTTGAGTAAGCAATGATAGAAGCGAGTTTTCTGGTTAGAAATCGATGTACACAATTTTCATTTGAATCAATTTATAAATTTTGATCAAATAAGGTTGCTCATTAAAGTATAATACAATAACTCAAAGTTATTAATCATATATATAAATATATTCTACATATTGATTGAAGCTCTTTTCGATTTCTGGCAAATCGTGACTAATCTAACTTATCGAATGGAGTCATCAAAGGTGTTTTCGGAGAACATCGTATTCGTTCGATTTCCCGGAACTCGCGAAATAGTCATAGTCCTACTTAACTACTTAACTAACTTTCTTTGTCGTAGGTAATGTATGCGTGAGAGCTGACTTGATACTCACTTCTTGGGTATGGTCGATACATAGGGCATCAGCACCTTGTCTACAAATGAGCCGAAGCCAAGGCGGAAATTGGATGTGATGCGCTTCATTGTCTCGGATAGTTTATCGCCCAGGGCGGAGAGTTTCTCTTTGTCGTCCTCCATAGACTTTGACAGATCCATCAAATAGTAGAGATCAACGGGGTAGTCAACGGCCTGTGAGTAGCTAACGTCCAGATTGTGAACCTCATCTAAAACAGATGCAAATTGATATTTACAATATGTTTATCGATTTTAAATGCATTCATCGATCACTTACTGATGCGCAGCTTGAGGCTAACGCGTTGAGGCTTTATCTGCACTATTTCACCAGCTGCAGCTGCACCACTGGCTGTTGCCGCGCCATAGCCACCCGAGCTGGAGGCGGCGCTATAACCGGAGCTGGAGCCGGAACTAGAGCTGGAACCATAGCTGGAACTGGAGCTGGATGCACTGTACGAGCCCGATGACGAGCTCTGGCCATGGGCACTGCTCTCGTAGCCAGCACCCGAAACATATTGACCGCCCGCCCAAGCGGCACCTCCGCTAGCCAATGTCAGATCCTTGTTAATCAATATGCGTTCAGATGTATCGGGATTCCAAATGTATTCCTCCGGACAGATCTCCGCCTTCGGCGTGTGCAAAAAGCAACGCGGCCGATCCCCATAATCCGGTTTCATGCACCATCCACAATTCTGCGTCTGTATGCACTCGTGACACGTGACCTTATTCACGCACGGATTCTGTTCCAACTTGGCTGGCGACTGTTGCGCCGCTGCTGCTGTTAGCGTTTGTTCTCCCAGCGCCAATGTTGGCCAACTTGTCAACGTGCTGGCCACGATGCACAGCGCCACAAGCAACAGCTTCTCCTGCTGCTGCATCATGAGTTTTGCTGTTTGAGTGCAGGTGCGGGTGCGGGTGCAGGTGCAGGTGCGATTCCTGTTGCTGTCTTGGCTCTCTCTCTATTTGTTTTCTCTGTTCAACACTTTCGCCGTGTGCCTTATAGCTCTCTTTCGCTTTTGTTGTTGTAAGGGGTGCGAAAGTTTCAGGTGCAGCGGCTGAAATTAATTCAATTTAAATAACAATTTCTCGTAATTGTATAGAATGCGAGTTGCTAAACACATATGATTCCATATATGGAAAGCTTTGGATATCAATCATCAGTCGTTCAATTCTATTTGATAGAAATCAGTAATCGCGGCTGAGGTTCAGGAATCGATTCGTGAACCAATTGGATTCGATTTCAAGTAATCGCAACAAGTTTAGCAAGTTCGTATTGGATCGATTAATTCTTATAAGATCACAAATCCATATAGAGTGTAAAACAAGTTTAGTTTCAAATGTGTTTTTCGCGCATATTTGTTGAAAATAGATTATTATTTATGTATGTATTTATGTATGTATGTATTTATGTGTGTACGTATGTATGTTTGTTTGTGTGGGTTTATGCTCGCCCAGCTTTCATAAGGGTAGCGACAGCAAACATTTGCTCGGTTTTACCGTCACCTGCCTAGCCCCGTTTTGCCTCATCTTTAAATTTATTTCTCACTCTCTTTCTTGTTGTTTTTGTATTTTCTATACAATCAGCGCCATTTCGTACGAAACGAACGAATCGAAAATCAAATTGGATATGACTCATCCTCTCCGCTTTTGGCTGCTGCTGCTGCTGCTGCCTCGTATGTGTGTAACAAAACAAACAAAAAAAAATACGCACGCACGACACACACACACAAAGACGCTCAGTTACATACGAGAAAAAACACATGCTTACTGTCGCAAGGTATTGTTGAATAAGGGCCAAATGATAAAATGCCAATAATTGCACGTCTCACACAGCTGGAAATACAGTTAAATTGCAATAAACCTAAAGAGAGAGAAAGGGTAATGGCGGCCGAGAGATAGGGAGCTAATGACTATTCTTGTGCTCTGCACAGTTTACTCCAAACATAAACAAAGAGCGCGCCCTCTGACAGGACAAAGACGCCTCATTTTATTGCTAGCTCCCCCTACAGTAAATATGCTTAACTATGTGTTGTATATATGAACGTACATTTGTATTTTAAGAGACAACTTGAGTCATGCAGCGCGACTGCGCTGACGTCTTCCGGGCCCGAATGAATAATCAATCGCCTTGCAAAACTTGACACTGGTGACTGGAGAGTTGTGTTTTCTGCTGCTGGTTGTTAATCATGCTTTTAATTTAAATCAGAAACAAAAATAACAAAAAAAAAAGGTAGTTATTTGTATAGCTGAACATATGGTTTGATGTATAAATATAAACGATTGCTGGATGGGATAGGGGAAGATGCAGTAATTTGCATGAATAAAGAGCAGAGCTGAATTTGGGCGCCCACAACATAAGTCTGCACACACACACACACACACATGTGCACATACATCTTGGTTTTTGGCCTCGCTCACTAGCTCGCCCACCGCAAGCATTAGGCAGGCAACCGGGCGGGCGATCAAGCAGCGGCAACATCTGCGCTACATAATGTGGGCGTACAAGTTCCTCACACACCAGCCCAAAAGCAGAGATAAACACAGCTACGCAAACATACACGCGTACATGTATATACATACACACGCATACATATATGTTTATACGTATGTAGACTGAGAAACAACACAGCGCACCAATTGGATCTGCAACTCCTTGCATACACGGCGATAGGGGGCGCTACTGCTACTTCTCACTAGCTACTGTAATCAGTTTGACGTTTGATCGTCAACTTTTAAAGTGTTGCCACCCCACCGTAAAGTTTATGCCGCACTTCGTTCTTTGGCTTCAGCGGCAGTTGAAGTGGAGGATAATCATTTGGAACACAGCAAATAACTCACATACATGCACACACATACATACATATCAGCACAAGCATATTTATTGCCATGTGAGTGTGTTTGTGTGTGCGTTGGCCGCGTAGTCTTCGTCATCGTCAATGAAATCATCAACATGAACTTCCCTTTGACCAAGAATGCAGTCAAAATTTATATATTTTCTTACGTAATATAACTTCATTCACATTATTTCCTGTTCACTCTAGCACTTGTTGCCTTCCAATTCATATGTTTTATGCCATTTCAATCAGTAATTCTATAAAATATTTCCATCAGGGTGCGACATTGTTCGCTGCTGTGGTTTTATTTTGATTTCACGCACACACTTGTGGAGTTGCCCACTCATATATGTAACCACATGCACACACAGAAGCAATGCATTCACAATTCTAGTAAGAGTGCACTCTTGTGTCACTTTTTATGAACTTTTTGCATACCGAAAATGATTGCTTAAAAACAACAACAAATAGGTTCACAATAAGAATAATATAAAAAAAAGCTGGCAAAAATTGTGATAATTACTTTTGCGACGGCTCCGCACTGCTACTCGATTATCAAAAAACTGAGGCCGTATGACCAGACTTAAGTAATATAAATATAAGAAAAGAGTGTGACCAAGGTTTTGGCATATTCGCTCCAAACGAAAGACATAATTGACTTCAGGCATAACACAAAGTATGTGAAAAACCATCTTTATCGAGACGGTAATATTATAAAAATATGTGTCTATATTTGTTTTTTTATTAAGTAATCGATTGTCTAAAAAAACATCTTTGATATATACAAAATGACGAACGAAAATTAAAAATAAATTTGAATTTCTAGAATATAAGCATGCATTGGCGCTTTTACTTTTTTTTAAATAATTACTTATTTATTATTGTGGGTCAATGTGGAAACACGCTAAAAGAGTGACCAAACCAAAGTAAAAACTGTATAATGCCAAATACTAGAAAAACTACCAAGCTAAATAAACTAACACCAAGAATAACACCAACAAAACGCATCGAGGTGAATGTAAATAAAAGACTGCTCATAAAAAAAGTTTATCTGACCAAAAAAAAAACAAAAATAAAAATTAAAACAAAGCAAGTGAAGTCATCAAAAAAGCATACGCACACACAATCACACAACAGCTTTACTTCTTTTGCCGTCAACAAAAGGAGCGACGCCCGCGTCGCAGCACCTGCAGCAACAACGAAACAACAGACCGAACATGGAGGACTTTGATATTGATTTGGATTTAAATTTTGTGCAGCTGAGTCGCCAACAGCTTTTGCAACGATATACCAGCGCCGTACGCCAACTGCGCCGCCTTGCCGATGTTAACTATGGCGTCCGTCCACTTAGCTTCGATAACTATGTGATCTTTCAGTATTTTCAGCAGCGCAGCTCCCAGCCTATTTACAATACATCCACGCCCCTAATGGCATATTTACGGCTGGAGGTGCTGCATCATTTGCTCGATCGCCGACGCAAAATCCTGTGCTGGCTGTTCTATCTGACGTTGTTGTCTCTGTGCGTCGTTGCCTATCGCTACGAGACGACATCATCGAATGGGGGCCACAATGGACGGATGGTACAATCATTGGTTTATCCCGGTATGAGAATGTGGCGTCGAATGACAATGCCGCTAATACAACGGTTTCCACGGCTGACCGAGCTATATGACGAGTCCTGCCTGATGGGCAATCCGTTCTTTCAAGTCGAGGATCTCAGCTGTGGCCCCTGTGCGAACGTTGAGAGCGTTTGGCTAGAGAGCGATGAGTGTGCCCAGCTCTATGCAGATGCCAGCCATAATAATGTAAATCGCAGCCAACAGGATTCGGGCACACTGTCACACTACAAGCAGTTGGCCCTGCTGCAGCACTGCCGCAAGCCCATGGATCATATGCCATACACATTTCGAAGTAATCAGCATGCATTCGATTTGGCTGATTTCTATAAGATTTACGCGAACAATCTGAAGATTTTTCAGCGGGATGCATATCGTGTTCATTCCACCAATCAGGGTGTGCACAATCTGGAGGATCTCTTTGGACAATTCAATGCGAGCAGCGCCGCACATGATTATCATGATAATAGTAATGAAGATGATAACCATCATCACCCGCATGATAATATTGTTGAACTGTCAACCGCTCACAACTTATGGCGCTGCAATCGCATGTTGCCTGCCCGCTTGTTACGTCCAATATTCGCACGGCCACTGCGCCTGCCTAGCATGGGCGTGGCACTGGAGCGCTATGTCGCCATTGATACAGCACAGGCGCCGGCCTATACGCTGCCCGAAACGGAATGTCCCAATGTCTATGTACATCAGGCGGTTGGCACACGCTTCATCATCTTACGTCCGACCAGCGAATGTCGCCAGCGATGTCGAACGCTCTCCATGCGCCTAAGCCAATCCTTTGTGCGTACGTATCGTAAGCTATACTTCAAATGATTTTCTATGGATTCAACCTCTCTTTCTCTCTCTCTCACTCTCTACAGTCAACTACAATTGGTTGTATTGGAAACCGATCTCTGCGCCCGATCCCATCTCAGAAAACATGTCCATTAGCCTTATTGGTTCCTACTGCTAAGTTTACACACGTGCCACGCCCCCTGCCACGCCACGCCACCTAGCGCCCCGCCCACAATTTTCAGTCAACAATATATTTGTTAAAAGCCATGCCAAAATTTTCTAAAACAAAAATATACGAATTTTTGTCGCTCAATTTGGTAAAGAAAACAAAAACGAAAGCTCTTCGAACCATTGTAAATGAGCAGCTGGATTAGCTCTAAGCTCAGAGTCCTTAAGAATGTCCTTATAGCTAATAAGTTAACCATAATTGAGTATCCAAGAATTCTCTCCAATTTTTGTGTTCCAATTCGAGGAAATTTATTTCTTCCTTTTTTGATTTGTTGTTTTATCAACAACAAATGCATTTATATTCAGCTTTAAGTTCGCTTTATTTTGAGAAATGCCTTAAAACAGATATATACATATATATATATATATATATATATATATATATATATATATATATATATATATATATATATATATATATATAATGTGTGTGTGTGTGTTCCAATTCGAGGAAATTTATTTATATATATAAATATGTAGTATATATAGTCAGCATTCAAATTGTAAATAAGTTTTATTTGAATTCTCGGTTGATTTTTTTTAATCCAATTGTTTGCCAAATTGTGAATTAATAAAATTCTGCTGCTATATAACATATAAAAAACATCTTTTAGAATCAGATATATTTATTATATATTGTTTAGAATTAAAATGCCAAAAGCTTTCATGGAACAAGGCTTAAATACTCAACTGTACTTATATATATACATATATACATATATATATATATATATATATATATATATGTAATATATATATTTATATTTATATATATCACATATGATATGATATTTACATTAACAATATATTTCTTTCAGTTGAATATTAACTATATCTATTTGAATATTTATAAAATCCCAGAGGTTCAGATCTAAAGATATTGACAGAAAAAGGGCAAGCAAAAGCCTATATAGCAGAGATTCTAGTTTATGAATCACCGCCCTTGTTCAATGCATCGAAATAAGAACCCGTCATTAAATCATCTGCAGCAATATCGAATGTGCGGCTCAGCTGCTCGGCAATGGCTTGGCCTTGTTGCAGGGTCTGTTCGGGTCGCAGGCACACTTCGAATTCCATAAAATGGCCCAGATCCTGCACATCATCCATATGTATGCGAGTTTGTTCATGTAGAAAGAGCAGTCGCCGTTTGGCCAGCACGCCCAGTGCACCGTTCGATTGGCCAAGCATCTTTTCCAGCACGGACGGTTCGTCTACATCGATTTTGTTATACTTGGAGAGCTTCGGACCGGCTACGTCGGGTCTGTCATAGTAGACCAGCTGGGAACGTGCCGGAGGCTCTAAATAGCGCAGCTTCAATCGACCACCCTTTGGTGAATTGAAGAAGACATCGCGTTGGATAATCAACTCGCCATCGGAGTTTGTTAGCTGACGGGCAATGGCCAGACGTCGTTCAAATTCAGATGGGCCGCCGGGTATGCGCGCCTTGATTTCAACGTTGCGCTGATCGGGTGCAACGGCTATATCACACATATTTCTCACTTGATTTATATATCTATATATATGTCTTAATTGCATTCATATATTATCTTATTTGTTTGGTCCGATTGCTGCATGCTCTCTGTCTCGATCAGTGTAAAAGACCGCTTCACGTTGATATGAGTATCGATAAATGGCACAAAGCCATAGCTTTATGTTAATTGACATCTAATGTGTACACATTGCTCTGCACTAAACTGCGCCTATTCAAAATCCATCAACTTGATTGATAGAAAAAGAGTCCTCTACGCACTTATCAGTCGCAGCAGCAGGCTCGCACATGCTGCCCATGTCTTTTACTCCAGTCGTATATTAATAGTTTTATAGTTTTATATAACTTAATAGTTTTATTTTATTTATTTTTATTTGATTTGTGTATGCTTTCGATCGTTATCGATAAATGACACTCCACATACGATTCCTAAGCAGAGTGTGTAAGCACTGTTCTTTGTCATTGAATTAAAACTTTATTGGCAGAAGCCGGACCCAAGCCCTGAGACATGTTGTTGGTGTGATTTATGATTTACGTACATATACAAAGCCCTATAGATTAATTTGATGCATTGCAATTTAATTAAAGTATATTTATACAAAGCAAAAGCGTGTGTTTGACATCACTAACGTTAAATAACACGACCAGAATTTGGTATTACAACACTGTCAAACACAGCTAGTGTGCATACATTGTTTGCCGCCAAAATGCGCCTATTTAAAAGCTAGACACTTAATTGACAGTTGATTAAATTGTTCGATTGTTCTTCCCTGCCGCATAGAGTGAAAATTTGCTCTGCAATTATTCTTTAAATGACGACAAATTGTGCCGTATGCTTGTTAATGCTTATTTAATTGGCTATAAAATAAGTTTGTTTGCTCAATTGATTTATGCACAGTCAGAGGCAACTAACAGTATATAAATATTAAATACGGATACCCATTAAACTCAGTAATCTTCCATTACAATCATTAGCGATTTTATGAATGATGCAACTCCGACCTAAATGCAAATGAATCAAACTTGGCCACCTACGACAGATCTTGCTTTAAAAGCTCATCATATGAAGTCGATGTGCAGCCGCGCAATTATTCAAGAATCCATTTGCCAACGTGGAGAGCTAATGAAAGAAGAAGAAAATGAAGCTTACACAAAAATGTATGAGCAAAAAGAGGGAGAAAGGGATTTTCGTAGTTTTCAGCTCAAAATCTCAAATTCGTTAGTTGGGTAATTTGACTGTGTACATGGTATTAAAAACAGATATGGCTACACACATTTGTACACACACATATTTGCATAAAAATAGCAAAGTCTATAAAAATATGTACAATATACAACTTAATTTGCATATTCATACATACATACACACATTTATACAAGCATACATTCATATGTATATATTTATACTTGTAATGCTTGCTTAAGCAAAATCACATACATTTGTATATAGATACGCATACATGCATATGTACATACATATCTATAGAAGCGACATGCATGTGCACGAACGCACGAGCACATGTTAGCATATACATTTGTATACATGTATGTATCTGCAAGCATGTATGTACATGTATATGTATGTGTATACATACATATATATATATATATATATATATATATATATATATATATATATATATATATATATATATACATATATATATATATATATATATATTTATATATGTATATGCTTATGTATGTATGTAAATAAGTGCAGAGGCAACAAACAGTAAACCAAAAAAAAGACAGGAGAAAAGCAAAAACAAAAACACACAATGTGTAGACAACACACAAGTTGCATAGTCTCCTGGCCAGGCCCCGCTTCGTGACGCGCAATAGCACATGGTAGGTAGGCAGGCAGCGGCAGCAGCAGCGGCAGAGGGAAAGCGAGAGGCAGAGCAGAAGACGACGGCGACAGCGGCAGCGACGGTGGTAGCCGCGGCTAGGATGACGATGACGATGCCGCGCGCGCAACGACTTTGGCAGCTCAACACAATCACACACATATACATACACACACCCACACACGCACACAGTGCGCGCAAGGGCGGCGTTTGCGTGCCCTGGGCGTGTCACAGTGAGGGCGGGCGAGCGTGTTGGCGCGCAACCGGGAATATTTCCATCTACTTCCCATTTTGAAAGCTTTTGTGTGTTCGTTTTGCGGTCGTGGACTTCGGCTTTGGCGTTCGGCCCGAGCGAACCGCTTTTCGTGCTTTTCGTTTTTGTTTTTGTTTCTGTTGCTGCTTATTACCCTGTATGTTCGAAATGGCGATAGCAAATTTACTTTTAATTTGCCACCACCTATACCTAACACCACTCTCCATCCTACCCAGTCTTCTCCCTGCTACCACCATTAACGGCACCTTCATTTTGTTCTCTTCACTTTCGGAGCACCCTCTGGCGGCAAGTAAACTCAACTTCCTCACATTCCCCTCCCCTTCCCCCTCCCCATCCCCATCCCCCACAACAACCTCATCATTCTCTTTGCAGCCAAAAGTTGACTGTCAGGTGCGCAGGGTGGCAGCTTTAATAGTTGTCTAAAGGCTCTCTGTTTATGATAGGTTGGCAGCACTATAAATCGATATTAAAACTAATTACTGGCTCTCGGTGCAATTTCCGCATATTTAATAAATGTCCTCTGAGAATATGCTAAAAATAACTCCGGCATTGGTGGATATATTGGCAGGAATTCAACAAAGAAAACCCTAATCAGCAAATTATCCTTATGATCGGACAATAAATAAAAGTAAATTATGTTTACCCAGATGTATATTTTACAAACGTTGAAGCAGAAGCGATTAGTTAGGGGGATCTCCATTTGAAATGGGTTTCTTCCCGGAAAGTCACTGTTATAGAATATATGTATGTATATTATAAATATACGATTACAATAAATAGAGGGGAATTTACGTCTTAATGCGTGTTTATAATACACAATTTTCCATAAGAAACAAAATATTTATAAATCGGAGAACCACGAATATGTATATGTACATCACTATACATATATTATAGCCAGTACATATTTTAGCCAGTTCAGCATACACATTCGAATGTACTTCGATATACGATGTATTCAAATTCATGAACCCTGCCCACAGCAGGTTCTCTGTGCATACCTGCATATTTGCTTGATCCATGATCAAGTTTTAAAACTCTGGCAACATAATGCGACATGCTGGACGGAAAACAAAAACAACTCCCATTGATTGCCTTCACAGACAACTTGTCACTGAGCTGGCAAAACAGATTCGTCTCCTTCAATCTTGCGTCTTCGCCCCTTGTTCAATCACGAACTTTGGCAGCCTTCCATTTGTTAGGGTGATCAAATGAACGAAATGTTTCCCGTTAAGCTGAATCCTGGAATCCTTTAATTGTCAATCGGTATCGGTCTGTTTGCACTGTTGTCGTCAGACGTTAAAGATCATCTTTTCAGCTTTATTTTTGAAGTTTAAGTTATTCAGTTCGGCTTCTCTTAGCCGAAGCTCATCAAAATATAATTGGAAAATTAACAGACGACTATAATATAAATATATTATATGAATGGTTCACGCATGAACTAGTGCTTCGCCGATCTATACTTTCTTTGGTCTTTCTCTACGTCATTATTCTGAGATACGATAAAAAATGCCAATAAAATAGAAAAATTTTCTTCATATAATGTTTGAGAATCCCCCAACATTAAGTTTCAGAAAAGAATCAAGCCAATTGATGGAGCCCGACTCGAATTTTTGCAAGACTCACGCACGGCAATTGATTTTTATGTATGTATGTAATTAGATATAGATACATGCATACTTACATATGTAGATACACAAGCATGCATGCATTTGTATGTGTGATTGCTTGTATTCAAGCTTTTTTTGAACGAGTGAACGGATATCACAAAAAAAACCCGTATTCCACTAACACGCTCAAATGCGTATGTGTGTTTGCAAGTACACAAAGGCAAACATTCACACACAAAACAGATACGAAAATTTAATGCAGTTTTCTTGATTTTCTATAAGGAATTCTCCGTTGTTGCTTTCGCAGTTAGCTTCGACGTTGACGTCGACGTCAGCGTCGACCGACAGATAAACAGTGACGGCGACCTTCGCTGCATAGCGTACTTTTGGTGTTTCTCTTCTTCTGCTGTTGCTGCTTTTGTTGTTGCATTTGTTGTTGTTGGTGCCGCTACTTTTCGTTGTTGCTGTTATTGTGTCCCTCAATTTGGTGGCCGCTACGCTGCCCTAGCACAAAATGTATTGGCCATATAAATACATACATACAAGTATATATGTATATATGCATGCATCTGTGTGTTTGTGAGAGTGTGTGTGTGCACGGGTACCTTTTTGTATGTATCTGTTATGTGGCTGTAACAGCTCCCCTCGAGTAACCATGCTCCCGCACTTTAGCGTTCACTAATGCTCTCTTTCTCTTTCTCTCTCTTTTATGAGCTCTCTCTATCTACATATATTTTAGTATATGCAAGCATACATATACATGTATATGCACATATATATTTGTGCTTGTGTGCGTGTAACCAGCTGCGACTTTAAGTTTTTGTTGTTGCTGCTGCGAATTCGCTCCCAGCTGTAAGTGTGTGTGCGTGTGCAAGAGAGTGTGAGAGTTTTGTATGTTTGAGAGATACTTTGACCTTTTTTCCCATCAAGAAGATTTGAAGCTGTTGTTGTTTCTGCTGCTCTGCTGCTGGCGCTGCCATCGCAGCCGCTGAGAGATCATTGCAGATTATACAGGGCATGTAAATTAGTACATAAACGTTTATCTAAGCGCATACTATCTATGTATGTACACATAAATGTATGTGCATATGTATGTATCCGTGTATTTATATTTGTGTGTAAGTAATTTATGAATTTTCGTTCCCTTTTGATTTTTATATTCGTTGAACAGCTCAGCTGCGTCGCTACCCATTTATGACTTCATTTGCCGCTTTGTCTTTTCATTTTCCCAAATTTATTTTTATTTATATGCATATATATATGAATATACGTATGTTTAAATGTATGTGTGTATAAATGTTTTTGCTCTATGTATTCATAAGATAGATTTCTTGCGGATTGCAGCTGCAAAGGTGTGTATGTGGGTGGATGGCTGCGCGGCTGCTTTGGTGTGAAGCACTTGC